TGTAAATGTATGCATTATAGGCCAGGATATACATATGAGAATATGCAGGGGTTTTTTTTCTGAAATTGGGTGACCCTGTTTAGTATTATATATTCTAGGTCCATCCATTTTGCTGTAACTTTATCTCATTTTTAGAGATGAATAATATTCCTTTTTATCTATGTACCAGATTTTCATTATCCATTCATCTGTTGATGGACAACTAGGTTGGTCCCACTTCCTTGCTATGTGAATAGAGCAGCAATGAACATGAGGGTACAAACAGCTGTATGGCAGGTATGGAGTTCTCTAAGTATGCCTAGGAGTGAAACTGTTGTGTCATATGGTAATCCTATTTTTAATATTTTGAGGAACCTCCAAACTGATTTCCATAATGGTTTTACTCATTTGCACTCCCACCAGCAGTTAGAGTTCCTCTTTCTCCACATCTTCTGCAACATTTGTTAACAGAGTTCAAGATGACAGCCATTCTGCCTGGGGTGAGGTGGTAACTCAGAGTAGTTTTAATTTGCATTTCTCTGATGACTAGGGATGCTGATTATCTTTTAATATAGGTGTTGGCCATTTGTATCTCTTCTTTTTTGAAAACTCTCTACTCAATTCATAAGCTCATTTGTTGACAGGTAGTTTTATTTCCTTGGAATTTAATTCCTGCAGTCCTTTGTAAATGCTGGATATTAGTCCATTTTATGTGCTATGGCTGGTAAAGATTTCCCCCTACTCTATGGACTGTTTGTGTGCTCTGCTGTGAGAAACTTTTTTATTTCATATAATCCCACTGTTGACACTTGGGGCATATCACTTTTTCCAGGAAAACCCAGGTCATCCACTCAAGGCTCCATGTTTTCCCCTAGACACTCTCCTAGCACTGTGCCATTTCTACTTATCACACTGCCTATTTACCTGTCTCAAGGGAACTGCCACCTAGCTCTCCCTTATTTTCATTCCAAGAGCCTAGCATCGAGGAATCATTTATACCTTCTGAATGACAAATGGCCAAGAAAAGAAATGGGTATTGACTCTTTTCAGCCACATTCATTGTCAATCATTTCACCAGAGATGGACATATGCAATACTGCAAGGGGTTCCAATTTTCCAAAACACACACAAGGCCAAGAATAGACTCAAAATAAAATTTCAGATACATAAATTTATTCTTGATTTTTCTAGCAGTAAGTTTATCAAATGTACAGCTACTCATTACCATTATTTTACTAAAGAACTAGAATAACATAAGAAAAATTAAATTTGATAATGCTTTCTCTAATCTGTGACTTTATACTTTGCTTCCCAGAGATGAATAAAATTACAGCACTTCACTAATTTGCAAAAGCAACAGACTCTATTTATCTAGCACTCTGCAAACCTCAGGCTCTGTGCTGGTCAGTTTTTATCAACTTAACACAAACTAGAGTTACCTGGGAAGAGGGAACCTCAACTGGAGGGCTTCCCAGATTGGACGGCCTATAGCCATGTCTATGAGGCCTTTTTCTTTCTGCTTTTTTTAAAAAAAATTATTTTTATTTTATATATCTGTGTGTTGCCTGCTTGAGCACACCCATGCGTGCAATGCCTATGGAGGCCAGAAGCTGGATCACCTAGAACTGGAGTTGTGGATGCTTGTTAGCTGCCATGTGGGTGCTGAGAACTGTATTTGGGTCCTCTGAAAGAACAGACAGTGCTCTTAACCACTTAGCCATCTCTCCGGCCCTCTACAAGGCCTTTTTCTTAATTGCTAGTTGATATGAGAGGGCCTAGTCTACTATGGCTGGTACCATTCCTAGGCAGATGGGCCTGGGCTGTACAAAGGTAGCTGAGCACAAGGAAGGGAGAAGCAAGCCAGGAAACATAATTTCTCTATGACTCTACTTTAGCCCCTGATTCCAGGTCCCTGCCTTTACTTCCTGCCTTGGCTTCTGCCAATGATGAACTATAATGTATAAGATTGAAAAAAAACCCTTTCCTCCCCCAGTTGCTCCTGGTCAGTGTTTTACCACAACAGAAAACAAACTAGAATAGCCTCTATGCAAAAATACTTTAAAAAATTTTTTACAGCAAAACCATGAGATAAAGATATTAATATCCTCCTTTTACTTATAAATAATGCAAGACACAATAGTTGAACCAAATCTAACTTGAGGTTTCCTTCTGTAAGTCAAGAGACCAAGGTGTCATCAATTTGTTAACCTGGACAACCAGTTTGTTAAATAATAATTCAGCAGAGGCAGGGGCTTTAAGTTTAGATTCTGCTACTCAGTTTCCATTAAAAGCATATTAGGGGGCTAGGGACATGGCTCAGTCAATAAAGTGCCTGCCACTCAAGCATGAGGACCTGAGTTTGGGTCCCGAAGTACACACAAAAAAACATATATATGACAGTAATCATCTGTAACTCCAGCATTAGGTAAATGGAGATAGGCGGATCCCTGGTGCTCACTGGCCAGCCAGCCTAGCCAACTGGTGAGACCCTGTCTCAAAAAGTAAGGTGGAGGAGCTTGAGAGTTGGCTCAGTGATTAAAAGCACTGTCTGGTCTTGCAGAGACCCAGGTTCAGTTCCCAGCACCCATATGGCAGCTCATAACCATCTGTAACTCCAGTTCCAGGAGATCTGATGCCCTCTGCTCTCCTCTGTGAGCCCTGCGTGACACATATAAATCACTCATACACATTTTATAAAGTGAGAGCAAATGAGAAAGCCATTTGTCATTAAGCTCTGCCTTCCACACACATGTACATGTGCATGCACTCACTTGAACCACTAAGTACATATACCACACACACACACAAGCACACCCAAAATAAGATATCTGTGTTTCTTTCTGTAAGTCAAAAACTTGAAGAAATTCCGAATTGTACACCCACTCTACACAGCCGAGAATGCTTAACAGTGCATCATTGAGAGCAATGCTCATTTCCATGCAGAAGTCTGCAGTGAAAGCAGGAATGTCATAGGGTCAGAAAGAACCATGGAGGTGACTGCTAGTCCTCAATTTGACCCACAACAGGCCAAAACAACAACAAAGTTTCTAAAACCCTTGTAAGACCATGAGAATAACACAACACTGTTTCCCTTTCTACCTTCATCTAGGATCAACTATAGTATTCAATTATAATAATCACATTACTTCAGATTCTAGGTACTTTCCTTTCATTATCATTGGTTCTAATTTATACTTTCATTAGCCTAAGTATACAGATACCATATTGTACCATTTCAATTTTGAAAGTACCTCAGATTAACTATAAAAGAGCTAAATAAAGTTGTTCTTTATTTTTCAATGGGACAAGATTCAAGTATTACTATACTTAAGGCATTATTAAATTGCTTTTAAACTGTTTTTAATGTTTGTCATATTAGGTAAGCTTAATATTGTAAAATGCATTCATTACATTAATAGAATGAGCATAATTTCTTGTTTCGCCTATGTGTTCATTCTATTATTAGAATTCTAAGTAAATTGATTACTTGTTGAAAATTGGAATGAAATCAAGATGTACTCTCTGCAGGCAGGAAAGTTTTAAAGAGAAAGCAGAAAAGCACAAGTACTCTATGAAAAGAAAAATAGAGCATGAACTACTGAAGTGACGAGACAATAACAGCATTAATTTACCCTTGGACAGTCTAAGAGTGCCTACAGGAAGCACAAAATAGTAACAAGAGGCTAGAAAATAAATCTGTGGTGGGTTCTAAGTGGTAGGAGAGTTCTAATAGCACTGTAACTGTTGCAGCTTCACTACGCAAAACACACAAACTATGACACACACAAAGGTACTCAGAAATAAGTAAACATGCATACAAACACTAGTTATGCACATCAAACATAATTTGTTCAACTGGCTCTCCCCAGAATATGAATTCAGCACCCCTGCTTCTGAGTGCTTCACTCCAAACCTTATGTAACTATTCAAATATTCCTACTATGCATTATTAAAACTCCAGAGACTTTAATATCTATAAAAATGCTTGGTTACATAATTAATCTCTAAAATTTACTAGTTAGAAAAACAAGAGTTCACAAGGTTTAATTTTGAACTGATTTTAAGAATTTAAATAAAAAATCATTCAACTACAGATTGATCTGATTAATAATATATTAAGAAAGAACGCAAAATTGATAAAGTATAACAGAAAATTGTTCAAGTGGAAATATATGGAAGAAAAAAGTCAAAACATAAAGATTTTAAAATGAAATGGATTGAGATAACATTTGTGAATTACTTTAAGCCAGCAATTATATTACCTTGAAGAGACATTTTAAAAGACCTAAAAGGCTGAGTCCTTCCTATTTCTACAATCACAATGAAATAATTAAAATTTAGAGACCAGGGGAGAGCACAGTACAGTAGCTGTTCTTAAGTGAATAAAAAAAATGGGGAAAAAAAACAAATCATAAATAAGGAATTGCTGTAAATTTGGGGAAGGGTCCACACTGTTTACTGCGGGTTGGGGGGATAAGTCATTGATAAATATATATCATAGCAATTATTCTCTCCATCTATCTTCTTTAAGTACAAACAGGACCATGTTTGACCACTTAATCAGAAAGCATATTCTGACCAGTAAGGATAAAAAAATTTAGATATCTATGAATAAAATTTGAAGGAAGCAAAATCAACGAAAATGAGAAATAGATCTTTAAAAGTTCTAATATGTAAATATGTTGTACTACTTAAAGCATTAAGAAAGATATTTACCTTAATATCTAAAGACCAAGCTTAACTCATATTTAAAGTAATATAGTTCATTTTTTCTAACTTGTTATGACTATGATTTAAATATTGTGCATATACTTGCAAAAATGAACAAAGGCAAAATCATAGTATCCCTGGTGGTCTTTCTAGACCATGTCAACTTTGGTTTGGGGGTAAGTAACAAAGGAATAGGATTATGCAGTACCAAGCTTTCCATAAGGATACAGAATCATGCCACGAGTTCAAAAAAAAAAAGGTTAGTTGTATAAATTCTGGGTATAATCACTCATGCAAAAATCAGAAAATACCTGTACCGAGCCACCATGTCTGTCTGCTGCAAGGTGAGCTCTCAAATGGTGGGGATTTGCCTGCTGGGAGTCCCAAGCTGCCCTGTGGTCTGCCGACTGCCATTTATTTAATGCATGTGGCATGCATGGAAGAAGAAAAACCCAATATGTTAAACATCTCATCCTCATAATATGTAAAACAAATGTATAAAAGGAAATTTAAATACCCTTACTATTCTGAATCGTAGGTGCACTTGTTTATCTCTGAAGATAAAAGGTGAATTCTAAATTGATAAGTTGAGCAATGATCAATAATAAAAGTTAGAACCTTAAAATTTTAGAAGGATTAGGGAAGTCATAGATTCTGTCATCTAAGTTCATAAATAAAACAAACCAAGAACCAGGGAAGTAAAAATGGCATGTCCAAGAAAACATTCCAAGTACGTCTTGAGTCACTGAAAAGCCACCCACTGTATTTTCTCACTGTAGATGTCCTCAATGGTTCTTCCATGAGGAGCTATTTTTAGCAATGTCAAAAAATAATCCTTAAGATGGTGATATCTAGAAAACTTTTTCTCTCTTGCATAGTATTCTGGTTCTACTGCAAGAATAATAGGGGAAAACAGAAAAGGTCTTTGAACAGTAAAAGCACTATGCACAATATTATGAGAATTATAACAAAACAAACATTTTTAAAAGCGACAATCCCACATGTATGAATCTCTTGGATGCCACCATTCAAATTAGAGTCCTCTCTTATTAAACAGACTGAGTGTGATGCTTTTAGATATGGTTAAATCTGTATGACAATAAGCACAAGCTATAATCAAATTGAAGAATTCAGAGTGACTTCTTAAAAGGAATCAATTTCTTTATTTCAGAAACATGTAGACAGCACTAATACAAAGGGAGGCTTCTTAAAGCTTGGTTCTGAATTTGCTACTTTAAATGTGTTATCACATTTTGAGACAGAATCATCTAACTAATGAAGACACTGAGATGCTGAACACACCACCAAGGTCACTGAGCTAGTAAAGAGCAGAGAATAAGGATTCCAACCAGAGCCAGCTGCTTCTCCTATTGTTACCCAGCTCCTTACAGCAATACAGATATCCTAAAGTCTACAGTACACGGCTTTCCTTTTCAACCAAATTCAACAAAATATTGCCACAAAGTGCTAAGTGCATTGGGCTAGAGGAAGCCTAAGTACATGGGTGGCCAGAGAAATGCTTTGTGGAACAGATGTTAAATCCAAATAGGACACATGAAAAAAATCTTCTGGTAGCACTTGCTTCCTAAACTCAAGCATATAATGCAAAACTACAGACTCTCTGGTATGAAACATGGCATCAAAACCATTATGATTGGTCTGTCTGTTCATCAAACCATCTAACCTGATAACCAGTTTTAGTAGATTTGTAGTTTACATTATAACGTTTAGAGGAAATGAAATCTAAACATTAAAAAGATACTAAGATTAAGACAAATATATAGGGCAACTGGCAATGGGTGATAGAACTCTGTTAAGAATGTAGTAACAACTATACATCCGCTCCTTCAGGATAAACACTAACACATACCTAACACTTCATACATAATGGCAGGACCCTGAACTTCAACCATTGGTTCTATGCTCTACCGGGAGTCATTACAAAGTTCAGCCCTTTGAAAGAATTAACTTTTCTTCTTTTGGATTATGAACTAGTCACTGATGCACAGACATTAAGAAGAGCTTATGTTTTTTTTTTTTTTCTAGACATGCAACTTTTCTTGAAAGCGGAGACTGTATATTCAACTCTCAAATTCAATATATAAACCTATCTGAAAGGATTTATGAAACATTATACACACACATATGTATTTAAAATCTCCCTACATTTGTGTGATAAATATAAGAACTATCCAAATAAAATATAGTTCCCACACTCAGAGAGCTTAATTCTAACAAGATAGGTCTGAAATATGTAGAAAGTTAAAACCTTAAAACATTGAAATTATAATTCAGATAAACATTAAAAGAAATTTCCCTTATTACATTATTAGTTTAAGCAGAGAAGCATGGAGAATACCAATTACTGATGTTCTTCCAAGTACATTCAAGAAATTAATTCTAGTTTATAAAACACAAATACCACTTCTCCATACATATAGTATCTTACCAGAGTATTCCAGTCATCAACTAATTATAATCTATATCTGAATTAAGTTACGAGACTTTTCATTGAACCATTTTTCTATGTCAAATTTTAAAAACCAATCTTTTAAATCAGCTATATCATATCACATTATTATTACTCATTGAAGTATAGCATTTTGTTTTGCTATATGGTTTTTAATAAGTGATGTTCTGTCCTTTAGTTTTCATCTTGTTTTAACCCTAACTTGGACTCTGATGGGATAAGAGGTGAAAGTAAAAAGGGCACTACACCACCCAAAGCAAGTTATAACCCCAAATTTCTAGACACTCTTTGATTCAAGGAGATAGTAAAATTCCCAAGTCAATGGTAGTTTCAGTTAAGTGTACTCTTGTGAATAAAACATAAAATTCCCAAGTCAATGGTAGCCTCAGTAAAGTGCAGTCTTGTGAAAAGAGAGAACACTGATGGAAACTCTCACTAGCTGACCATTCTGCCACCCAGGAAACAGAGTCCTTTGCTCTCCTCAATCAGTACTCACTATGTCTTCTCTCAAAACACCCTCTGTTGCAAGCAAACTGAACTGGCTAGTAGTCTTCAAGCAGATATTTTTTAGATTGTTTTTCTATTCTCTTTCTTTTTTCTCTCTCACTTTCTCTCCTTCCTCCCCCCACCCCTCTCCCCGCACTCCTGTTCTCTAGTCCCAAAATGGCTTTTTCCATCATTTGTCTATACGTCCATTTCTTAAGGTTCACAAAAAAATCCCTTTATTAGATCTTTGATCTGCAAATAAATATGGCACTTTACTAATATATTCTATGTGGTATAGCTTAACTCTACTTTAAAATGTGTTATTTGTGCATTTACTGCAAAAATTATCACAGCAGTAATACTATCCACAAGTTAAGATTTACTGACATTAACTTGTACAGGGCAAAAGGACATCCATGTATGTCAGAGTCCAGGGACTGAGTAAGCTTTTCACTAAACAGCACTCTTAGTGACTCACTTTAAAATAATTTCTTATAGAGTATTTCATCTTCTTTGCCTCTGTATTTCTAAACAAATGCATAAGAAATAGCTTTAAACAACAAAAATTCAGTAAATAACTTAATGAATTAAACTACAGTTAGAAAGAGCAAATACTATTATAATTCATTCCAATATGGTACTCCCAATAAATTCATTCTAGTAGAGCATCAAACTATACTCAAATTTTCTAATAATTCATACCATGAATTAGGAATTTATAATTATTTTGAAACAGTGAAAATTGAAATAAATGGTTTACTGAAAATATAAGTATTTATAACAGTATATAATGTTTTATCTACTGAAGAAACATACACACTTTAATAATGAAACGAATTAAAAGATTTTGAATCTATAAGGGCGTCAAACCTGGTTTTTAGATTGCTGCATCTTATCTCTGTGCTGATGTGCTTCTCGGTTTGATGACAGAGCAGGGTCTTGCTGGACTGCACCCACTGGAGTAGGCTACAACATAACAACAATTAGTTCTTCAACAGCCCACTTCAGAACTTGTATTTAAGATCATTTCATTAGCTACTAAAAGAATCAATCAGTCAATCAATCAACCAATCACACTCACTCAGTAAATGACACTGCCATGTAAACTAAGGCTTTAAGAAGCAATATTAGTCTTAAAAGACATTAATAAAGCTAACAGGGTAAAGCAAAGAGAATACAGTATTTTTAAGGCATTTAAACATTTAAAAAAGTTGTGTGTGTGCGCATGCACACGAGTTTATGTGCACAATGTGCATGCAGGAGCCCATGGAGGCTAGAAGAGGGTGTCAGATCCCCTGGAACTCTAGATACAGATAAGGTTGTAAGCCACCATATGGGTGCTGAGAACTGAACCCAGGTCCTCTGCAACTGTAGTAAGGGATCTTACCTACCAAGTCATCTTTCCAGTCCTCATTAAAACACTTTTGAATACATTAGGTTTTATGTCAACAAAGAGCCTCATTAATTTTAAGTTATTTTGTCACATTAAAAATAAAAATGATATGAAAGACACAAAAATGCAATAAAATATGTTCAAAATAAATAGTTATCTTAAATTTTTTTTTATTCAAACAACAGAATAAATGCAGATGTAGACCTTGTATAAAATTCCAAACACAATACTATGGGACTACCTGAAGAAACATCCCCAAACAGGAAATAAAACAAATCCCTTAAAAAATGATTTGTTCTCAATGCCTATCAATTAAAGAATCCTGTGCTATTAAACATACTATATATCACTACAACAGCACACAGTACTCACCAACTGTTTACCAATCCAGTCATATTCATAATCGAACATATACCCTTTACGATCAAACAAATCGGTAAAAAGCTTCCTTAGGTAATCATAGTCTGGCTTTTCAAAAAAATCTAGCCTTCTTACATAACGAAGATAAGTTGCCATTTCTTCTAGAAAGGAAATAAAAGTTGTTCTGATTATATTTCTCTATAATACTCGATAAAATATTTAATAAAAGTAACAAAATTCTATTTCAATTTAAAATTTTCAGAGATCAGTTACAGGAAAAAAATTTAAAAGGGGAAAAGGAGTAAACAAGAATAAAAGAAAATGAAAGGTTTAGTTTAAACCACTATTTTTCCAACCTTTATTACCAAAGACTGAAATTTTCATTTTATAGTATTTTAAAAGATACCTTGAACTATATTAGAGGTTGAATTAGCAACTTGATGATGCATGATTATCTAATCGCAAAGCATACTTAGCACATAAATATAAAAACATGTTTAAAAAACTGCTTGGAATTTGTTTATGTGAAAGCATTATGCTAGTTTGCTGGATTTCCTTTAGTGCCAGTAACATACGCTAACTTACCAACAGAGGAGTCAAATTCTAAACTTTGCCATGAGCAATATTCTAACCAATATGGTAGGAAAATGAAGTAAGTAACTAAAAAAATCTGACACAGGAACACAATAGAAGCCTTCTTTTAAATTCTTTTTTCAAACAATTATTTGGTAATATACAAATTTCTATATATCACATTTTTTTTAAGGTTATACTTTTTAAAGGGAAAAACAAAAGCATAAAACCTAATAGATACAGCGGTTAGCTAGTTAAAAAGAATATTCCACCATCAGGACACAGAGTGGCTGTAGAAAGAAGCAGTGGTTTACAAGCTGCCAGCTCCAATGTGGAGACTGCACTGCTCCTCTGCTCCCACTCCTTCAGTACAACACTGGTACCTGTGACCTCCCTCACAGCCAACTTTCTCACTATTCTATTGCTGCCTGATACAGGGCTAATTTACCTTGGCACCGCCATTTGTCCTGGAGAAATTTTTGTGGCTTCTTAATGACAGCCAGTTAATCTGCCTACACCTAAATAAACTGCTAGAACTATCACCAAAATTTATTTAATCTTCCATTTATAGATGTCATAACAAGAAAGAAAATAAAGTGCTGGCAATGAATAATAAGGAAACTTAAGAAAGAGCTATGTCAGAGTAGACTGATTTTATTATTATGACAGTATTAAACAGAGCCAGTGAACACTGAAGTGATACAGGACTCGGTCTTATAGGAAGTTCAGTTCTTCTTACACTTTATGTTGCTGTGCAAATCACAATAGGCATTTTAATAATTAACAACAGCTAGGCTTGTGCACAGACCTGTAATCCTAGTTACTGAGGAGGCTAAAGTAGGGACTTCAAAATTCAAGACCTGCCTAGGTTACAGAGCAAGTTCGTGAACAGGCCAGAGTCACTTAGCAAGCCTCTATCTCAAAGTTTCTTTTTTTCTTCTCTTTTTGAGACAGGCCCCAGGTGACCTGGAACTCACTATATAGACCAGATTGGCCTTGAAATCACAGTGAGTCACCTCTTCTTCCTCCTGAGTGCTTGGATTAAAGGCATGTGCCACCATGCCTGACTAAAATTTCTTTCAGACATTAACGACAACTTATTCTCATTCCTTGAGTTAGGAAACCTTAGTAAATTTTTGTGTAGAGTTGCCGTAAATGTATTTGATAACAGAATTTTTTTTCACACATATACACAGCTCTTTAATATAAAATTAGCCTAAAAATTAGTAAGGTCAGTAAGATTTTATTGTATTTGAAAACAAAATTAAATAATACTTGGAGCAATTTCTTTTAACTCTGGTATTGCGACCCAAAACACAGCACACTAAACAACACAGCTTATATTATTAGCAGGTATTTTAACTTAGTAAAAATGTGCCATTCAAGAACTATTACTTCAGCTGGAGTTAACATTATTAAAAGATGGAATTATCTTTTTGAAATACCATCTCGCAGAAAAAAAAATATACAAACTATTCCTGTGATCTATCCATTAACTGTTGACAACTTTCAAATCACAGTTTTAATGTGTTCACCCTATAAAGCACATAAAAAAGTATTCATAAACTGAAGCAATGAAAATTAACTTTTCTGTGCATAAGTACATTTTTAAATTTATCAAATTTATTTTTATTCATTACCTGGAAAGTTTTCACATAAGACTTCTATTGGTGTAGCTCGTTTAGTATCTCCAATTTTCTGATACCTCTCTTTTAATGTGTCAGCCTAAAATAGAAAAAGGCCCAATAATGTATTTGAAAATTACTTAGTTAGAACAGAAGGCCTTAATATGCATTAAGACTTTATGAACTCCAACAAAGAAACATAAAAACAATTACCTTTAAGCCTTGCCAAGGCAGACTGCCTCTCAGAAAGTACATAAACATATGACCTAATGCTTCTAAGTCATCTCTTCTACTCTGTTCTGAAATAAAAGAGAAATATGAACTTCACCTACCCATTAAAAGTGCAAAAAGTTTCCAGAACTTATTTTGTATAAATTGATTTCCAAAAGTTAATATAACTGTAAAATATGGATCTAGTATCTAAAAATGACAAAATCTTATATAAACTGTTTTTACATATCATTGTTATATCTAAAGTATGTGGTATGAGTTTTCCCAATGCTACTGAAGATTTATCTGTTCAGATACCTGTTTATGGACATAGAGGCCAGTGGAAAAGAGGTTCAGTGGTCAGAGTCTCTGTATACTATGGTCCATCTTTTCAGAGTCATCATGCACTACAGTCCATCTTAAGGATGCAGAGAGTCATATACTAAGGTTCTGAGAAGACCTAGAGTTAAAAGTGTCTAGCTTTCTTTAACCCTGAATTTCCTAAACATATATGAGCAGAAAACTTCCAATAAACATAATTAATAAGTATTGTAATACAGCTTAACAAACACTGTCAGACACATATCAACATTAATAACCCCTAGACTATTACAAAAAAAGCTGCTAAAACAGACTGCCATTTTCAAGTTGATTTCTTATAGTAACAAGTATGTAGCACATAAATGACTAACCACCAGACTAAAATTCTGGGAGATATTTGTAAATGTTCCAATGTTTTGTCATTAAGTTAAAATTCAGATTTCTGAATTTTTAAAATACAAAAATGCTTACAATAAGCAGAAAAATAATACTTTAAGAAATCTTGCATGCAAGATGTATTTCCCAATGAATAATTATGTTTTCTATTATTCTAAGTAACACTAAAGGCTTTCAGAAAAGCAAACTTTCTAGAATACAGGTCTGAAATAAGATGAAAGGTCAGGAAATCTTTAAATCTCTACCATTAAACCTCACAGCATTTTACGCTGACTTCTACCACACTGACTTCTACCACACTTGCCCCAGTTTAAGGGCAATGCTTCATCTGTCACTTTTTCACATCTGCCTTCCCACTGGACCACATGCTGTAGGAACGCAGATACATTTCATGTTCATTATCCTCAAAACCAAGTAAAATGCTGTCAGAGAACAAGCTCTGGACTCTGGCTCTGCGAGTCTTGAAAGTGAAAAGTATAATAAAGAAAACATTATTTACCAACCCAGCTTGGAACTGGAAGCATTTTTGAGGCTTTTAAAAACTCAAAGAGCTGGCCACCTCTTGCTCACTGATTCCGGGGTATGGTGAGATAGAGGCATTTGTATTTTATTAAGACTTAGCAGATGCTGCTGAAGTAGTTACGTTCGATAACCACTAGGGGGAAACGCTTCTCTCTCTCAAGTATAATTCGCTGGTAATAAAAGGCACCCTTGACAGCAAGCCTGCAAAACCACCACCATGATCAAGCAGTGCTGGGACCCCGAGTAGACCTGCTGTGCTGTCCCTTTCCATCTACAGCCTCTAGCTCAGGGTCCACTACAGATTAGATTTCATATTTCATACTGTGGCCCTGGATCTACACAGTGTACACTCATGTCAGTCATGTCAGTATGTTTCCATGATTCATTCATGTTCTGTGCAACAGCAGCTTATGACTACTCATGAGTATATCACAACACATACACCTAGTTACCTCCTGATGGACACCGAGCAGCTTCCAGTTTGGGGCTACGGTGGGAGGGAACAGAGCTACCATGCACTTTTTTTTTCTTTTTCTAAATTTAATTATTATTTTAGAATTTCATACATGAATACTGCATTTATAGCATTTCCATCCCTCCTTCTCCCCCTCCAACTCCTCCTGTGTCCCCCATCCCTCTAAGAGTCATGATTTAGTCTTCTTTATTATTGTTACATATATACACATATATATATATGCAACATACCGAATCCATTTAGTGTTACTCATATGCACATGTATGTATTTAAGACTGGAGAAGCTATCAGGGGGCTCATCCCTGGAGAAAATGGGATTCACCCTCTCTCAACAGCCACTGACTGCTAGTAGTTCTTTATTTGGGTGCTTTATGAACATTCTTATACAAGTCTTTTCATGGCTACAGTTTCACTGACCTGGTGAAAATAACCAAGAGTACATCAGATCATATGGTAGTGCAAGCTTAACTAACACTTCTATTTTCTAAAGGGTTGGTGTCATTCCATATTTGCATCAACAATTAGATTTCCGGCTATTTTAAAATTTAATATGTTTAGTCTTTTACATTTTATCTGTGCTAATAACTACTAAATGTGAATGATTATATTTCACTGATGACTAATGCTATTGAACATCAAGTGTTTCCTGATCATTCATGAATCATGTGTGAACTGTGCTCAAATGTTGTGCCCATTTAAAAAAATTATTTGGGGCTGGAGAGATGGCTCAGCGGTTAAAAACACTGGTTCTTCTTACAGAAGACCCAGGTTCAAATCCAAGCACCCACACGGCAGCTAACAACTGTCCGTAACTACAGTTCCAGGGGATCCGACAGCCTCTTCTGTCCTCCGCAGGCATTGCACGACACCGGTGCACTCACACACATGCAGGTAATACACGCATACACATAAAATAAAACTAATAAAATTAAAAAAATTATTTATCTTTATTGTATGAGTTTTGTCTATATGTATGTTAAGTATACCTGTGCCATATAATACCCACGGAGTCCAGAAGAAGGTGTCCAGTCCCCTGGAACTGGAGTTACAGATGGCTGTCAGCCACCGTGTGGGTTCTGGGAACTGAATTCAGGTCCTGTGCAAGAGCAGTCAGTGCTCTTAACTGCTGAGCCATCTCTCCAGCCCCTTGTGTCCATTTTTTAAAATTGGGTTATTTGTCATAAAGTACTAAGAGTCCCTGGTATATTTGGATACAAGTCATTTTTAGATACAAGTTTGGCAAATATTTTCTCTCTGAGGCCATAGCATGCTTTTTGTTTTCTTAACACTACTGATAAAAAAGTTCTGTATTTCATGAAGCTCAATTTATCAACACTTTTTTCTCCTACTATTCATACTTTTTAACGTCTAATCCAGGAAACCTGTGACTACCCTCAAAATCACAAACATTTTCCCTGGTTTTTCCTTCTATATGTTTTAGTTTGTGTTCTTATATTTAAGTCTATTATATATTTTGATGTAAACTACCTTTGCTTTGCTATGTGGTAAAATAGAGATTCTTTTTCTCTTCTTCAATACTGATATATAGTTATACCATTTCATTTTTAGAGACAGGGTCTCCCTGTAGCCCCTGTAGGTACCCCAGCTGGCCAGGATCTCATAGAGATCTGTCTGTCTGTCTCCTAAATACTGGAATTAAAGGCATCTGTCATACCCAGCTCTTATTTATTTCATTTCTTAACAAGGTTATCCTTTTCCTCTCATGCATTCTTCTAAATTTTCTGAACTCTTGAAAAACTTCAATAAAATCATTAATCCTCTTACTAGACGAAAAGAAACACAAATTACCAGTAACAGGAGCAACAGAGGGGGCATTAGAATAGATCCTACAGACATTCAGAGATGAGTGATAAAAATTACAAGTCAACATCATGCCAATAAATTCAACAACGGATATGAAATAGACAAATGCTTTGAAAGACTTACTAATTACCAAGAAGACGAATGCCTCAAGAAGATAACGTGAACAGCTCTGTTCACATTAAACATGTTAAAAGGCTGGGAAGATTGCCCAGTGGATAAAGCACTGGCATATGCAGCAGTGGACAACTAGAAACCCTGTCTAAACATGGTTGAGGTCAGCGATCAAGACCTGAGGTTGTCCCCTGAGGTGATGGCATGCATGCACTGCTGCACTGCTGTTTCCTCTGAACTGAAACATTCTCTGGGGCAGGAGAGGTGGAAGGCTCATGAGGTAAACAACTTCACCTTTGGGAAAGCTGAACTTACAAGATTCACAACGGTTACAGAAATAGTCTACAACTACTAGAGGAGACAACGACGACCGAAGCTGCCAACCAGAGATTCCTCTGACCAGTTCAGCTGCCTACCAGTTGCACAGAGAGCTCCAAGGACGCAGCTTTGGTTAGTCATCACCAGTGTTGGATTGGTTTTTCAGTGCAACTCCTTACAGTCATCCCTGCACCTGTAAGTCACCCCACACCCATAAATCTGTTAGCAGCCCCAATAAAGACTCATTGGTTCACCAAGTTGCACTTTGGTGGAATCATTACCTTGTCATGGGTTCCCTTTCTGGGTTGAGTAGACGTGTGTTACGTCTAGTCTGTCATACAACATACACACAAATAAGATGCACACATATATGCCATATATATATATATATATTTAAGAAATTAAATCATTTAAAAATAAAATTTAAACCCTTCCCAAATGCAAGGAATCACCAGTGAATTCTACTGAAAAGTTAAGAAAATGTCAATTGAACATAAACTCTTAGAAATAAGTGTTCCCAGCCAGGCATGGTGGCATAAGCCTTTAGTTCTAGCACTTGGGAGGCAGAGGCAGGCATATCTCTGTAAGTTCAATGCCAGCCTGGTCTATATATCGAGTTCCAGGCCAGCTGGGGCTACAGGGAGACTCAGTCTCAAAAAGACAAATTAAATAAACAAATAAATAAATAAACAAACAAAAAAATAAATGTGTTCCAATTCATGACATTATTCTGTTGCAAAAAAAAAAAAAAAAGGCATGGAAAGAAACAAAAACTATAGGAAATATCTCTCAAAAGCAGACACAAAATCCATAAAAGGTAAGTACCATGACTGACTAAACAAGCTTCATCCTTAGAATGATCAATGAGGCCTGGGTAGACAGCTCAGTGAGTAAGAGAGTTTGCTCTGCAAGCATGAGGATATGAGTTCAAATCCCAAGCACCTACACAGAAAACCAGGCATGGCTGCCCATACCTATGGAAATATCTCTCAAAAGCAGACACAAAATCCATAAAAGGTAAGTACCATGACTGACTAAACAAGCTTCATCCTTAGAATGATCAATGAGGCCTGGGTAGACAGCTCAGTGAGTAAGAGAGTTTGCTCTGCAAGCATGAGGATA